TTAAGTTTGACTGGAAATTCAACTGTATTATCTGTAAATTATTTTCCACCTATAAACCTTTACGATGACTCAGAAATAGCTTTGTTATGTTTACAGTCATTTAATTCATTCCCAAATATTAATGAAAATAATAATAAATTTTCTATACAAGGAGTTGATAATGAAAACAATAATAATCCTATGATATGTTTTATTACATTGGAAGAGGGTTGTTATGAAATTGAAGATATTAAGGATCGAGTTAAGAAGCAAATAGTTGCCTATAATAGTAAAAACTTAACCAATTTAACATTCGACATTACGGTTGATCCGATGATTTCAGATCGTATATAAAATGTAATGGGATACTACACTTTGAATATCCATTTAGTATAGCACCTGCATTCGGTTTTGAAAAACGAGTATATAATCCATACAACATTCTTCGATCGGAAAAAGCTGTAAATTTAAACCCAATTAATTCTATAAAAGTAATGTGTAATATAGCTCAAGGATCATTCAGCAACCATCTTCAGAGTCATTCGATTTATGAGTTTTCCGGTGGAAAGACAGGGTCGAAAGTAATTCAGGCACCGCCAAATTTAATATATTACAAATTGAATAAAACAAATATTGATTCGATAACCGTTCAGTTAGTTGATCAAGATCATAATCCGATTGATAATTTTGGTGAGGCATTGACAATCGTGTTACATATTAAACGTTACGGGTCTTGAGATGGGGTTGAAATTCAATATAAACCCGCTACTTCGGATCAGCACAACTAGTCATAAGACTAAAGTGCTACCAGCAACATCAAATAAGATAAAAAAATTACGGTAAAATAAAAAATTTTACAAGCTCGGGTTATCATTAAAGCAGAATGCCTGAGAGTGATATTTTGAGATATAACTTCACAGTACGAGACGAATTCTAAAATTACGGAAATTGAATATCATTCATACACACCGTATACTACGTCATTTAATAATAATGATGAAATACGTATATCAATCCAGCAAACGGATGTCTACCCATATCTACACGAAAGCTTTATTTTTTTAGGAGGAACAATTACTGATGCTGCCAAAGTGAAACTATCTAATAACGGTTACTCTTACCTCTTCGAACAAATACGATTGGAATCAAGGGATAGAGTAGATAGCACACGTGTTCTTGGAATCACTAGCTCGTTGAAAGGTTACTTATCCGGTACGCCCAGATAACTACAATGGTTACGAAAAATGCTGGTTGGAATTTTAAAACGCAACGCAATCGGAAAATGATAAGGTGAATTTAGTGCTTGCATTCCATTGAAATATGGTTAGGATTGTTTGAAGACTATAAAAGAATACTAGTGAATTCTAGATTGGAATTAATATTAACCCGAAGTCATAGTGATTTAAATGCTTTACAAGTTAAAAGTGGTGCAACTTCTACTGAAGGTAAAGTCGTTTTAAACAAAATAGTCTGGAAGGTCCCACATATAACAGTCGACGACGAAGAAAGGTTAAAATTATTGAAACTTATAGAAAAAGAAAAAGTTGTTTATTCCTTTTAGATCTTTTGAAACTTTTGAATATCCTGAACTCGGAACCAGTAAGAAGGTTATGGAATTTGAAAACTGCTTCAAAATTAGAAAAACCACGATTTATCATAATTGGATTACAAAAAGACGCAAAAATTTGTTAACAAAGATTGTAGTATATTCGATCATTGTAATCTAACAAACGTTAAAGTATTTCTGAACTCGATAGCTTATCCATACGATAATTTGAATTTAGATTTACTTAAAAATAACTTCACCTTATTATATAATATGTATACATCGTTTCAAGAATCGTACTATGAAAAAAATATACGGAACCCGATATTGAGTCCATCCACTTTTCTATCAAATGCTCCAATTATAGTCATTGATACTTCGAAGCAGAACGATTCAGCCACAGCCTCAGCAGTAGATGTTCAATTAGAAATTGAAGCATCAGAATCGCTTACAGGTGTAACTGCTTATTGTTTATTAATTCATGATCGTATTGTAGAATATGTACCTTTTACTAGAGAAGTAAGAAAACTTGTGTAAAATTTTTTAAAATTAATATATAATTGTATTTGTAAATAAAATAATATTTAATAAATAATATATATTTTCTTAAATTATTTTTACTACTAAACTAAAAGAAAAAATATATAAATATTTTGTTTGTGTAACAAATTATATAACTAACTATACACAGTTCTGTGATGTGTTACACGGTGGTGTGTTACATGCGGTTACATAAAATATTTAAGAAATCACACTTTTGAGATTTTGGCTACACGGTGGTCAAAAGTACTGTAAGGGAGACTTTCCCCTTGAACTTTTTTTTTTCCCTGTAAAAATGGACGCAGAACATACATTAGGGTTTTTGAGATTTTGGCTACGCGGTGGTCAAAAGTACTGTAAGGGAGACTTTCCCCCTTGAACTTTTTTTTTTCCCCTGTAAAAATGGACGCAGAACATACAAATATATACTACTAGTTTTGACCATTAGGATTAGATTTATACTCAACATGTGCTTTTTTCTTCTGTATGTTGATATGTTTTAATTCTGAATTAAACCATGGTGGGTAGGTAGTACTCCAAAAGTTACTTTTGGGTACAAAATTTAAAATACTTAAATGCAAGGCATCGAATAAGGTATTGAAAGCTGTCTCAAGATCGAGGGTAGATAGAGTAGTATCCAATCAGAACTTCCAATAAACGAGGTTACGTAGAGTATTAGTTTTACGAAAATTATAAAAAGAGTGATGGTTATCTAAAGAATTTGTATGATCAAAATAAGGAAGAGTTAAGTTCAACGGAGGGTGGTATGGGTCAATAGGGACTACTGGTTCCAGGGATTTATCAACTAAGAAATGAATATTACAAAAAATTAGATCAAGGATTGATCCATGACTATTCAAATTTTTATTATTTTGGAAAAAACCATTAGAAGCAAACGTTCCGGGTATACAAGCTGCACGACTACTAGAAGTGAATGAGTAATTAAGACCACAATCATCATTGTCCCATAAAATTTCAGGTGAATTATAATCACCGCAAATGATGAACTTATAAAAAGGGTAATTTTGAACCAAAGATTCAATGGTCTGGGAATGGATGTGATAGATATTAGAAAGAGAATTAGGAGGTATATATACACCTCCAATCACAAAAGAATTCAGACCAATTGTGCAACGTACGTAAATTTGCTCAACACTCATGTTTGAAATACTTATAAGACTAGATCGTATGTCTTTTCGTATACCAATAAGGACACCACCACCTCTGGTACATAAACTAGTTAAGTTACAGCGATCATATCTATATACATTATAATTAAGTAATCCAAGTTCAGAATTAAGAAAATTTTCTGACAACCAAGTTTCAGTAAGGATAATGAAAGAATAATTTAAAGCAGATACATTACGTTTAAAAGTTGAAAGTTTTGTTCTCAGTCCGCGGCAATTTTGATAGAATCCAGTTAATGGACAGGAAGTTGAGGAAGATGATGTTCGTTTTTTGACCGGATAGTCCCAACCTTTGGCGATCCATTTTCAAAGTAGATGCGCAGATTCAATTCTCCCCTTGCTGCACGCGCCGTCATTTCTTCGTGACAAGAGCGCAATTGTTGTCTTTCAAGTTGAGTCTTATCCTTGACAAGATTGAAACCATTTTGAAATTGAGTACCTGACCGCTTAAGTTCATTGTATTGGTATAGCAAGGATTTTGCTTCCTCTTTGCTAGCACAAACTAGCTTCAATGGGCGAGTACTATTTGGACGTGGTTTTCCAATCCTTATGAACTTGAGATTCAATGGAAGAGAGTCTCCAAGTGGCAGTAAAATATTAGAAATAGTGGATTTATCATATGCAGCTCGTTCGGCTACCAAAGAAGATGTGGACTCAGACACACCATGAGCAATCACGTTGGAGGAACAGCGGTCACGTTCAAAAAGTTCTTGTAAAACCAGGTTAGTAATTGCAGATGGATTAGTTGAGGGGCTTTTTTCTTCAAGGCTATTCATTTTCAACTTTAACATACCAATTTCCTCTTTTAATATGCATTTTTCATTTTTGAGTTCACTCATCTGCTCAGAGATTTTCAAAATTTCTGATTTGAGACTATTAAATTGCGATGATTGTGAGCTAGAAAGTGCTTTATTTGAGGCTGGAACTTCAGACTTGAAGACAGAATAATTTCAACAATCCTCATTTGAAGTAGAAGCTTTGGACCTTGTAACACGGTCAGTGGAACTAGTGGAAGCTTTGGAACTAGCGTTGGGTGCTCTCGGCGTAGACATTTCAGGAAATGATACAATAATATACAAGAGAAGATTATTGGCTGGGTATTACAAAAACAACGAGCGTTAAAGTCTCCAAAAGACCCACCAAATATCAGCCAAAGAGTAGTGGTAAAGAGAACTGAATAATGTTTTTGCCGGGCGTTAAAGTCACTAAGAGACAGCTGACGGTGTGAATGATGTTGATATCGTCGGAAATTGATTATGATAACAGTGTTTACGAATTCGATAATCTAACAAACGGATACACAAACAAACTACTTAATATTTGTTTAATACTTGCTTAATACGGAGAGACAAAGAACCCCACGACGTACAATTGGACAACGATTAGCACTTAACACTACCACAACAAATTATATAAAAAACTTGCTTGAAAACATTTAAATTATAAAGAATCTGAGGACTGTATATATCAGTTTACTGTTATCACTTTTATGATATGTATTTATTGTGTGATATAATATAACAATGAACATTTTTAGAACATTTGCAATTATAATTCCTAAAAAATATTAACATATTGGTAGATATTTAGATACATACTATTATATTAACCAATACATATAAACATGTACCTATAGTGTATATATATTAATTTAAAAAAAAATTGCAAAACCCTGCATGTTATTTGTTAAAGTGTCTATCAAGTCAATCATCACCGTTTAAGACGAAACTAAAATGAGCAACCCGTCTATCACCTATATATAGTAGGTATATCACATAGAGTGGTATGTGCCTTCGCATGTCCGGTGCCTTTTCTTATGTAAAAAGTGTAAGTCAAAAACCGTTTGGAGTGTCTAGCAAGTCAGTCCATCTCAACTCTCAAGCCAAAATCAAGATTAACTTTCAAGTTAGCCACCTAGGTAGGCAAACCGAAATAAAATACAAACTATATTTATATAACAATCATGGACATTTTAAAAAATATGCAATTTTAATAATTCCTAATAAAACAAATATAATATGTACCTATTTATTGTGTGATATAAAATGATAATGACTTTAAATAATAATAATGTACGATATGTTCCTGTATTATTATATTATTATTTAATTTATATGAAAAATAACGTGAAAAAAAATGCAAAAAAAGTCAGGATTCGGGCGGCCGTGTAAACCATATGGCATTAACGGTTACAATGCCCGGACGGAGTACGACGGATTTGAACCCGGGACCTACGTGTTTCCTGCCTAACGCCTAACCTACTCGGACACAGTTTGAGATATGAAAGACAGTGAAAACATCAACAATTAAGCCGTGCGACTACGGAGCGACGTAAACCGATATATTCGATGTACATCGATGTAATCGCATATAATTCGCTTGTAATACGCGCATCTCCCATATATATATTTAACGGGGCGTGTGAAAAGCGTTTTCCGTTAATAATTATTAAATCATAAGAAAAAATTAAATTATACACGTATATACATGTATATATACGCGTACGGCTGGTCGGTCGCCGGCGTAATTTCCAAACGCGATTGCGAGGCGAACGAACCGATTTTGGGGGAAAAGCGCATATACACGGCTTCAAAAAGACTCGATTCGGACACAAACGGGTGCGATTGTGCGAATAGACGAAACGGAGGGAGAAAAGGAAAAAATCGGCAAAAAAGTCCGGTCGGGAGTGTATTTATTGATCGACATTGCACGAATATAAACCGCACACCGGTTTACTTCGAATAAGTATATAAAAAGGGCGAAAGATATCGTGTAAAACAGCTAATTTTCCGAAAATCGGCGAAATGATAGGAAAAGAGGTGATAACGAAAAACGTTTTAAAACCGACCGCCGCCACTTCGAAGGTACGCGATTGGTCGCGCTATAAGGAATCGACGGGACACGGCCGGCGGGCTGGGGAAACGGAGCGGTGCTTCATTTTTACTACTCCACGTTTCACTCTAACTGCGTTTTCCGTTCCACGGGTTGCTTGTGTTATCAGTCAGCTGTTCTTCATTTTATAGTATTAGACTAGCTCTAAGTGAAACTCGGGGCCCGTGGAACTCGCAGAGAGTGGGTACCGATTTTGAAGACAACGTCGTTGGTATTATAAAAGTCTCAAAGGTTGTAAGACGAAAGTTTAGGATTTGTGATAAGGAGTAGTGATATGGATTGGAGATAAGGCTTGGCGCTTTGGCGGGAATGTTGAAAAGTTTGAGTGTCTAGCAATCCATCACAAACATTGTAAATGGATACGATCTCCAGGATCTCAAGGCGTTTGTCAGCTGCTTTTGGGTGTTGAAATTGTTAAAAAGTGTAGAGTCGATATGTGCATTTGATGTCTAGCTATCAGTCATAAAATCACATCGGTAAGCAATATGCGAAGAGTATATTATCAGGTATGCACTCCACCTGCGGTGGATTGCGGACCCCGTTAGTTGCGCAGATAAGTGAATAATCAAAAATATAGATTCTAGTTGGCCTATGAGACTCGCTGAATTTGGGGGTACCTACTGATTTTGGAGTAAGAGTCGTTTCAAATATTAAAGGATACTTTAACTTTCTTAGCTTAGAGTACAGCCTTAAAGTTTTTTATACCCGTGCAAAACAGTTTTGCCTATGTTGTACCTACGTTTGTAATACGGAGACAACACATGTTGGTGTACCTAGCGTCTTCTGTACAATCATACAGACTATTTGATACATTGCACTTTAGATATTATTGAATACACTATACAAATTAAATCTAATGCAATGCAGAAATATTGGAGTTAGGGATCTGTGAATCATAAATTATTCCAGCACCCCCTAAATTCACACCCAATGTGCGCCTATGATCATTTATTTACCACAAATAATTTGAACGATTTTAACTTAAAAATGAAACATTTTAAAATTTAAACTATTCACGTAATATAGTTTTAGAAGCACTTCTTAATGGTGTATTTAAAGCTAAAATCTGTGGTCAATATTTCTAAGTTCCAGGTTTAGAATAATAATATTGATAAATGACATGTATGAATTATTTATTAACAAATCTAATTAGGTATCTATTGCTTACTTTTAATATAGGACGCTTTATGTAAAAGAACAATATTTAATTTACAACATACCTATCAATATTATACATTTTCATTTTTAATAATTGTTACAATCAAAACTAATAATATGTACCTAGGTACGGAATAAATACAATGAAACAAAAATGTAATTATGTACTGAAAATTGTAATATAATGATTATAACACGACAAAGAAATATTTATCATGGATTATCACTTATGGATTGAATGTACCTATATACTAAAATAACTACATTCTACATTCTACATTTTAAAAATTTCCAGAATAATAAGGACCTGGTTGTCTGTTTGACATCTTGAACTATAAAAATAAATCAGACAAAAAACACAGTTTATAATAAAAAAAAAAACGAACCAAATAGAATATAAATTTCCTTTTAAATTATTTTAATATAATATGTAAAACATAATATTCAATCTGTCTTGGGCTACAATCAATAGGATAGTATTTTTGTTTTAATCATTTAATTATGTTGTACTTTTTTAGTATCAAGTTTATCAAGTAAATTAATAGTTGTATACTTGTACCTATTTAAAAACTAAAAAGCAAACACAAATGACAAATTATATTCCATTTTGTGTTCTGTTACATTTATCTAGTGGCCATGGTGACATTTATATAAAAAAGTTCAGTTTATAAAAAGGCATTTGTTGTTTAATACAAAGACTTTTATAAGTCTAGGTACGAACGTGTAATTTAATAAATAATCTGAAAACAATTAAATCATTAGTACCTAAGTAACATTTTATGTAGTACATAATTTTATGCAGTACCTACCTATTTGGAAAAATGTATAGTTGTTAATTTAAAATCACATAACAATGAATTACAATTAATAGTGTGATTTTTAAGATTAAGGTTTTAAACAACTATCTACATAATATTATATTATATGCAAGAAAATGATGTAATTTACCATACTTTATTATGTCACTAATCGGAGAGTACATTAATTTATTTATGATAGACTATAATGCATGTACACTCCCGCTGACAGTAAGTTGCGGACGGGTTTTATTTATTTTATATTTTTATCTATTTTTTTACCTTTTTCATATTTGTCCTTTTTAATATTTAAATCAATATTATTAGTTATTACTAATCTCAATTAAAAATAAAATTATTTTATTTTATTCACATACCCAATATTACACATTTCTTGTGAAATATTATTTTGAACTTAGTTTTGACTTTTGTTTTAAAGTCCATTTTCAATTTTCAATTTACAAAATATTTAAAACCTTAAAAATACGCCCACGAAAATTATACGCCCGGGGATAAATCCCCGACTTCCCCAGTCCCCCCCCTAGATCCGGCCCTGGTTACATAGTTGAAATAGTAGTACCTACAATGATAAGATATATTTTGTACAAACAAACAAATGAATTGACAGTGATTGTAAAACCGTAATGAATACATAAAACCGTGTTTAGAATAATTAGTTAAAATTGCAATAGTTAAGTTACATTATGTACTTAACATTAGGTATATTTTTTCTATATAAAAAATTTAATAGTTAAATTACATATATACACATTATAATATATTTTTTTATATACAGGCATGCAATTAGTAAGAAATGCAATAGTTAAATTACAATTATGTACATGACATTATACTTTTTTTTAAAATAACAATTAATCAGTAAAAATACAATAGTTAAAATACAACGATGAAGGGACATGACATAATAT